CCAGGGATGTAAGAGGTACTTGAAAGAAACCTTGAGATTTGGTGTTTGTTTGTTTTTAAATTAAGCAAATAGACATATTTCATTTGGAGCAACAATTTTTATTTTAAAATTTTTGTTTTAGATGTTTATACCCTGCTTTTCTCCCTAACAATTGATAACACTGTTCTCCTCTCCTCCATTTTGTCCTCACAACAACAACCCCCTGTAGGGTTGCCAAACCCCCCGGTTTGCCAGGAGTCCCCCGTTGGGGGGGGGTTCTACCTGCCGCCGGCCAGATGGCCAGTGGGGGAAGCCCAACACCCACAGCCACCCCTCTCTCTCCCTTTAAGTGTGTGGAACCCGTGTTTCCTCCCAAGCCCAATCTCCGCTTGAGATCAGGCTTGCAGGGAAATGCCAGCTTCGTGCACTTAAAAGGGAAATGCGGCTGCTCTTAAAGAGGAAACGCCGGCTCCTGCGCTTAAAAGGGAAACGCCGGCTCCTTTAAGTACAGGGAACTGCCGTTTCTGGAGATCCGGTTTAAAAGGGAAACGCCGGCTCCTTTAAGTGCAGGGAACTGCTGTTTCTGGAGATCTGGCGCACGGGTGGTGTGGGGGGGCGGACGTCCCCAACGTGCCGTCATCATGTCGGGGATGCCCCGCCCCCTCCAGGAACGCCCCCAAAGTCTCCCGCTGGGGGTGGAAGATGGACTTGGCAACCCTAACCCCCTGGCTAAGCGGATAGAGTGTGACTGACCCAAGCCCACTCAGTGGGCTCCCATGGAAGAGCTGGGCTTCATACCTGGGTCTTCTAGATCCTAGATCAGTACCCTAACGACTGCATCATGCTGTCTCCCAGAACTGATGTATGGAGTTTTATATCTATCAGATAGCTCTGTTGTTTGTTTGTTTTTTAGTGGAATAACGTAAGCCCACCCACTGTACCACCATCATCCTTTGAGCTGGTGCTCCATGATCATGTTGCAGAGAAATTGGCAGGGCCAGCTGCGGCATGGTAAATCGTGGACTTATGTAGCTATAGGGCTAAATGTTGCTTTTGTTTAAAAAAAGTCCTCATGAGTCTTGAAGTTTTAGTTTTTAAGGAAATTTTTACCCAAGTGACAAAATTCATAATGAAATTACAGTTACTGGAAGCCCCAAGGCAGAAATCTCCAACTATGGGGGCTTAACCTCCGTCTGACGTTCCTTGTTAGAAGCGATTTCCATCAGGAATCATCCTAAATGGACTCAGTGCCTCATCAGCATTCTTGGGAATGAAGATCTATGAGCCAAAGCAGGGAGAGAAAATTAAAATCCAGACAGCCACTGGAAAGGCTACGCGGGGGTGTAGAGAAAGAGCACCTTGTTGCTCACAGCTTAAAAGAGTCCTGTGAAAATGCAAGATTTAGTACATGACTCTCTGCCTTTCTGTCAGGGAGAGAAATAACCCCCCAATATTGGGAAAAGGAGATAATCACTATTTTAAAAATTCGAAAAAGGAGATCTATGAAGATCCCAAATAATGATGAGTTTGTAAATCAAGTTGCTTATACAGGGTGAAAACATCTGTACGTTAACCAAACATGTGCGGCTTGATCCAGTTTCCCAGCCTGATGTAAATTTGCCTCAGCTTAACCAATTCCCTCCTGTGACATATCCAGACCGACAGACCAGGTCTACAGATCCAGACTCCCCCATCTCATTCTGTCCTCTTCATCTCCCCCTTCCTATCAGCTCCCCCCCCCCCCAAGGTTGGTGGCAAATCAGGCAGTTAATGGGAAATTAATCAGGCAGCTGTGCTAACGTTAATGGCAAAGTCGTTAAAAAGAGATTCTTTACACGTTTTTAATTACAGCAATTAAAGCAAGTCAATAAAATGCCTCCCTATACCCCCCACTTTGTCATTAGTACTATTATTATTATTATAGGTGCTATAAATTCCCCACACAAAAAAAACAGCTGCACTGTGGGGAGGCACCGGCCTCCATCTCACTAGCATCAGGGTTGGTGATCAAAATATGCGGGGAGAGAAAAGAGAGCTAAATATGAAATATGTACGTTACAGGAGTGTCTGGCAATTTTAAGGGTAGGGGAGTGGGTGTGGATGTATGAGGGGGGGTTGTGGAGATGGATGTGTTAAGTGGCAGCGGTGAGTGGGGGAGAAGAAGTCAGTTGGCTGCTTCCACAGGTCATTGCTGTTTTAAAGTATATGAAGCATTCATTGGTGTCACCTGTGCTATGAAAAAATACGCCCAGTTATAGCAAAAACTCCCCTGAAAGGTTTAGAGAAAAGCTAACTTAATGCCGTTCACTTTGTACTTGAGGTATAGATTTCTAAGTACATATGGCTCATGTCATTTCAAGAGGGCACTTACATGTATAAATGGCTGCTTTTCAAAATACACATGGCAGTGACCTGGAATGGACCAAGCCTTTTCTTACCTATACTTCACAAGGAGAAAGCAGCAGTTTGTACATACTCATGCCCTTTTATAAGTGAACCTCACACACACATTTTGTACTTGGCTATCCATTGCCACACTCAGAATGTATTGTGTGAAGCAGCTCTCACAGTTCAGCCAAGTAAAATGTAATAGAGGCTGTCAGGTTTCTGGGTGCCATGGTGACTCAGAACTTGGGGAATTTCCCCAGCTTTGCATGTATGTGGACAGAAATCCTGCAGTCAGTGCATGATTTTGACATTTTAACTGCTTCCTCTCTCCAAAGCAAAACATTAAGACGGGGCTACACTACTGGTGACCATCAAGCCAAATGTAGCCCACCAGACCTTTATTGTGGCCTGCCAGTTGTTTGGCAGCCATCCTTCTAAGAACAGGCAGTTCATCAAGCCCCTGGTTAATGTGCTACCTCAACTACTGGATGCATTCAGTTTGGGGGGGGGGGATCAGAGATTGTGCATGCCTGCATTAAGAAGTCCTGCTAGAGCTGCCAACTCTGGGAGATTCCTGGACGTTTTGGAGGCACAGCCTGGGAAGGGTGGAGTTTGGAGAGGTACACCTATAATGCTCTCCAAAGTAGTTGTTTTCTCCTGGGGAACTGATCCCCGTACTCTGGAGATCAGTTGTAATTCCACGAGATCTCCCATCTGGAGGTTGACAACACTGTGTCCTGCTACCCCGGGTCTAGCAATCTTCTCTTAAAAGACCACTTTACCTTGTGATTTGTTACACTCTCAGCAGGGCAGGTTCCACACTATGAGTCTTTTGCATTCCTCTTCCGCGCTCAGCTGCAATTGGCATTGAAACAGAGGTTTCCCCATAGTATTTAATAAAGGGCCATGTTCCCCATAAAAATCCATCCCCAAAGGAAGCGCTAACTACATGTACATGCCCTTCAGCAAAGGTCTCACTTCTCCAATGTTCCTTCCCTTGCATTGTTTTTAGACTAATTAATTACTTCCTGTTCTGTCTGGGCTTGCCCTTTTGTTCTCTGCATTCATGAACAAATGCTCGATTATCAGTTGTTGCTGGGGGAGGGCAGAAGCTTCATTACCGGGAGAGGGTCTTTGTAGTAGGCCAAAGTCACTGCTCGTACTTTTAAAAAATTGTGTTGTTTATTATCATTGTAACGCTATTGTGATCATAAGAAAACGACAAAAACAAAGACCAGTGACTTGGCTTGCTGTGCAATGTAAGAGGCAAAACAGTTCTTGTGCCCCCTTCTCTCACCCTCCAGAGATGATAATCAACAAGCATTTATTCATGGCTGCCAGCAGAGAACTATTTCCAAGAAAACAGGAAATAATTAATCAGGCTGGAAGGTGAAGAAAGGAAAAGACGAATAAAAATATGAGGCGAGTAGTCCTAGGAAGCCTTAATAATGCTTTGACTGTCCATAGGGGACAGTGTGGTTCTGCAGTTGCATTTGAAAGTGGCAAAGCCGGGGGGGGGGGGGGGGAAGGCAAGAAACGAGAGCTTAACAA